GGGGGGGGGGTCATGGTCAATCCTAAAGTATGAACATATAGTTCGCAAGGACACGGCTCATTCTGTTTGGAATCTTATCTGGGGGGTTGAGTCATTCAACTGTAGTCTAAAACCTAAGTTAGATGACGTAATAGCAAGTGAAAATCTATTATCGGTCAAGGTCTTTTCGGGGAACACCGACGGGAGTTCTTATGGCAGAAGTTGCCAAGCAGAACTCTTCCTTTGATGATGAACGTCTCGGATATGCGCCATACAGCCGTAATCTACTTTACTTCTTTCAGTAAACGCACAGAACAAATTTTGGCGTTCTATGCTTCGGGGACTTAGAAGCTCGGAATCTGAAGGGGAGAAGTGAAGTATGTTGAAAATCGAACAAGAACCACTGGAAATATCCCTAGGGCGTATCCGTTGATTGTTCCGAATCGGTGAACTGGTGCTCTCTTGATACAAATTACCTGACCATGAAACACTCGTGGTAGACGAACTGATATAGGACTACGAACTGAATGCCAAATCGTTGGTCAGAAATGGTGCAGGCAACAGAGTAGAACAACCATGGGAGTTCTGGAATTTAAGTGAATTTCCCGGAAAACATCGTCCACCCAACTTCTGGGATAGACCGCTCATCTTTTCAGAGATTCAGACCTGATCTGGCAAATTCACCGCCTTTTCGAGGTTGAGCCGCTTTGTTAAGACATCGCTCCTCTACAGGAAGACAAAAAACGGATTCAAAATGAGTAAAGCTCATATTTACCCAATTTGGACCCCAGTTAAACTGATCTTCGATCTTTCCTCTGGATAAATGTTAAATGGTTGAAGTAAACCGATAGCACCGATGGATCTAGCCCAGTACATCCATTGCTCACGACCACTTCTAGACTGCTCCCTTTAGAAAGCCATTCTCTGTAGGTTTATGTTGCTGGTAAGCTCGAGGTGTAATTTGGGCATTCATTGACTGAATAATTCAAAAATCAGCTCTCTAGCACGGTTGGAACCGTCTTCTCTGTTCTGAAGCTTGGCAGTAATCCTACTCTGATTATAAGAAACTTTGCCTCGAACCGGTCATCTACTTATGAGCCACGATAATGCAACATATCGTTCTTTCCTAGAAAGGCTTCCAAAGAAGTCGGTTTGGTTGTTCCTCTTGCATTCACAGCCAGATTTTCCGACAGTTCACAAAAATCTGGCTTCAGAATCAGAATATCCGCACCAGCTTTCTTGAGCTGCACTGTTTCCGGGTGAAGTACTGTATCTATCCCAATAGTAGTTGTCATCCAGTAGACTTATACAATCCGCTAACTGCCCGTGTTCCCTCGGGCACATCTGCATACTCTTCTATGACCAAGTGCTCAAACTTTTCCTTTGACTCGTTTTTCCCTATTTCCGTCTTCTTTTACTCCTCCTGTAACTGATGATGGAGCAAGCGATTACTATGCAGAGCTAACTACTAGATTGAGATCGTGCTGTATGCTATACTGTTGTAAGTAAACAGTAAATCCTTGAGGAAGTAAAGGAAAGCGTGATCAACATTAAACAATTCCTTTCCCAGGAGTACATCATGCACCCCACATCCAATCAGACTTGTAAATGTATTCGAATGCGCATCCGGTCGGCCTATGATGTGACCTGGTGAAGCACTTCGAATGTTGACATCCTCCCAAACACCACGTGACGGCCCCAATCAACCACCTTGAAGTAGAGGACCTTCCTGGACTAGGATGAAGAGTGGACCGAAGATGGCTTCAGGTTCCAAACTCCGCTATTTCAGAGGCTACGGAGCCATGTAGCCACAGTGCCATCCTACTCGAATTGAAAAATGTATTTTACAACGACATAATTTTACTAGAATACTTTTCCAATCGTAGCTATCTATCTCACATGCAAACTTGTGTCCGAGCTTTCAAGTTGAATGAACGCTTTATCTTGACATCATTCCCTAGGGAAAAGTTGGAAAACTAATCCTGAGATGGATGCCGAGAGTTACTCAATTCACATTAAACCACTCTATGATTTTCTCGAAAAAAGGTTTTCATCAGTACCAGTTGTCCGTCATTCGGGCAGGGGATCGAATCCGGGACCCGGGCCTTCCATCTCTCCAGGGCCACACGGTCGATAGGGCCAGACTCATGCAGGAAGACGAAGCATGAACTCGTACATCAGCTGGCCACCTTCAGTCCTTGTAGAGCTAACTACGAATCGAAAGATCACTATGATTCTGAATGGAAGTCGAATGCGGGGCGTACCTCAAAAAACGAAGGTGAATAACGGCAAGACTTGGATATTTTGTACTAATTGCTTTCGCTGTAGTATTTCTTTTGCAAACGGATAACTATCACTTGACAATTGACGCAGAGAAAATGTGAAGTGGTGCTAATCACTGGGCTTAGATATATGCTTCATGCTCACTCAAATGGAATGGCTATCGTCATTTTCTCATTCCATAGCTTTCTCCATTTCGCCTTCGAAAGCTTTTGAAATGACGTCAGATCAGTTCAACGAATCTATCTAGTCATCATAATGGCCTCCAGCTCTAAATGCCTTCTATTGCCTTCGTAATACTGCCTAGTAATTGCGGCGCGTGGTGATCTAATTGGTATGCGATTGCAAGAACTTGCAAATGCTCTGTGAGCTGCTAAAAAAAGTTCCTCATTACGGGTTTAAGGCCCTTACAAAGACAACTGGTTAAATTTGGGAAAGTTTCCCGGATGTTTCAACTCTAACAGGGAAGTTGTATTGAGCAGGAAATCAGTAAAATAAGTCGATGAGTTAATCTTAGCCGCTCAAACCAAACATCGAGCTCATCCTATTTTCGGGAAGCTAGTTGGCCAGCTTTTGATACCACTCACTATACGAATGTGTCGATGTTTGAGCGTTCTGCTTCCTAATGAACATCCAGAACTGGACGGCCGGCCAGTGGTCACAAAGGCAGAATCCCGAGAAAGAAAATTTCGACTCTCCGAAAGCATCCCTCTTTAGCTGTGGAAACAGCTTTATGGGGAAGTTTCGGGCTACTCAATACCCTGTTTGAAGAATTCAGTCTTTCAATGAATTCGGTGAATGGAAAGGGCATGGCGTATACCATGAGCACTTCCAGTTTCGACAATTTTTGCCATAGGACCCTAAAATCATTTATTTTTGAGCTGTTTTTCGGCCTTACTCAAAACGTTAACCCACTTAAAGTCGATGCAGACAAGGTTAACTAATGTTTTTACCTTAAAAGGGCAACCTGAAAAACTTTGGGTACCAGTCCCTATTAAAAACACTTTCATGGAATACCTCAGCTCTCAGAAATACTTTTTAGCAGACCGAACCAGCAGATTACAGTACTCATGCTTATTTGAAATAAAATTATCCCAGGCCCAGTTTTCGATATTCCCGAACACAGTGCATTCAGAGCCCTAATATCATCTATATGTAACTAGGGCCGGCGCAGTTTCTCAGAGATTGACAGAATCGAATTTCCAGAGAAATGCTAAATTTTATCGGGAAAAATTACCGCACGGTTCATCGGGTTCTCTCCGGGAAACTTACTTAACGGAGGAGCAGTTACGGTGGTTTGGGAGCAAATTGCGGTTAGGCAAGATTGACATAGTTAAGCTTCGAATAGAAAAAGCCGTCGTCTCAGAAACATTCAGCACGGATCCGTTTGTCGCTCATTAGCCGAGCTCGCAGACGGAGAGGTGTTCGCCACATGCGAAGACATCCGACGAGACGACGGGAAATTGCAGCATTTCAAGGGTTCCAAAGGATAGCTTCCTAAAGCAAGACCATTTTCCGATCTTCCACTTCCTATGGTGTTCAACGTCTTCCGAGGAGCAGGATCAGAAGTGCAAAGCTTTTTGTTACTGACTTCTGCCCTTTCAGCTATTGACAAAGGCTGCCGCTAGGGCTTTGTTACTATGGCCGAACAGAGGGTTTGAACACAGAAAGCCGAATTTCAAGTAGAACAAACGGACATTGAAGGAGGAATGTGATCCATTCCTCGAGCAATCAAGCTTGTAAAGAATGCCAAGTTGTATGAAAAAACATGGAAGACCCACTAAAGAATCAAGAGAAAAGCGTCGGAATTTCCAAATACCGAGGATTACAGGAAATATCTCCGAACGTCGGTTGACTTTTGTATAAGTCCTTGTAAGTCCTTGTAAAAGGTAGAACTCGGAAGCTTTTCTCACTAGAGTGCATACTGGACAGGAGAACCCAACAGCCCGGACTTTCAACATATGTATATCTGATTCCGTCCCCCAATCCCCTAACTATTGCTTTGCCAATTTATCTTTTTCCACAGTTGTGATGAGCTCCGTCAGAAAACCTGATAACGGGGACCGGAATGCTACGCCTCCTGTGCCTTTTCAGATTTTTTTTTCATCAGTTCTGGGTCTGACCCAGTCGACAGTCAATTTAAACTGGAAAAACCTCAGCGCTCCATGTTCACGTTTGCTCGCTACTGCAATTAGGAGCTTCGATGTTGCATTCAGATTGCGTTGCTGGATATCTATTAGTAGGACGCAATAGCGGAATGCAATGGACGCCAAAAACTCCGTAGCTTGTACATAGTTCACGGCGGAGCCTCTGATCTCCTTCTAAACATTTGTTTTTTTAGTAGCTGACTGGTTGATGCATCCAGAAAATAACTTCCACAGCTGCAATAGCAGCTGAATGCCAGTCAGAACCAATAGTGAAATATTCACTACAGCCTGGAGAAGCCGGGTTGTTCCCTAACAGCGACAAAGCCGCGGAATAAATCTGGGCCAAACTTCAAGTACGACGGGAGGGCAAAAGGTGATGGCTCGATCGCTTTCTTGTGCGATCAAGGTAACCATGAATATCAAAATCCGCGCTGCTCCGAAGATGTTGTATTGCAAGAAAAGTCATTTCCATTTCGACTTTCTGGATATCTGGTCCTACTTGAGTTGAAAGCACCCCCTTCCTCACCAAAAGCTATCCCTCTGCAGGTTTCACTATAACTTTATATACTTTCTGACCTGTGTATCAGTGACAAAAGCAATTATGTGAATAAAGCAAGCTTGCAAATGTCTCTTCCACACTGAATGGGAATCGGCTACATGGCGTAAACATTAAACACTAATAAGTGCATCCTTCCATTCATCTGAACTCTCATTTATTCCAATTACTACTTGGTAGTCTATGCAATACGCTCAATAAAAGCATTAGAACGGATGCATGGTAAATTCTAAAAAAATCTAAAGTTAAGCTCTAGTGCTGAGCACAATATTGCATGCTTCTTCCTTATTTCCTTTTTATGCTCATTCCTTTTGGGCTCGTTTGAATAATTCCTCAATATCTCGTTTTTCCAGCATGGATCTCTTTCGCTTTGGGATCCAAAGCGATTCCTGCTAGGACGATGTTGGGTGTGAATTCTCTTCTGGCGATGACATTTCAATTCGGTAACATCATCCGAAACCTTCCGCGTGTATCTTATGTCAAGGTAAGAACCTCGGACATGAATTTAAAAAAAAGAAAAATAAGCCAAAGGTTCGAGAACTCTTGGAGTGAAGTCCAATGAATCCAAAGGTGCACGCAAATCCTGATTCGAGCCCAAACTGGATGTAGCATTATGGTGAATCCCACTGATTTTTCTTTACTAGAATGTTTGGTCTTTCCTCGATTGTCAATTTGCCTTCTTAGAACCAAGTAAGGGATAATGAACAGCGTTAAGTAGTCCAGCTATTACATCACCATCTGAAATAGACCCTGGTTCCATCCGTCCATTCCGCTGGTTACCACCAGGTCCGAATGGAACGAACTGATCATTAACCATAACTCATATCGACCGGCTTCCGAATCTCAATGGTTACCACAAACCATCAGGGCTTTGAATAGATACGAATTTTATAAACTTCCTGGATAGAACTTTGAAGCATGCACCGCTCTAAAGGAGTTGATAAACCTGTTTGTTCACTCTTCGTTGACGTGGGAGGTTACTGCGCTTGATGCTAAAAACCGACTTAATTCATCAGACCTACCAATTTTGAATTAGCCTTGTGATAAAAATCAAAAGATACCCCGTTGGCATATCGCACCAGAATACCTAGCTTTTCTACTTGTTTGAGTATTTAAGATATTCTACTCAAATGTCCGAATCGGATTGAGTTGGATTCGTGCCAAATGCGGAGCTCATTAAGAGCTCGGCAGCAAGTTGTCGAGTTCGGATACGGATTAGCTTCATTATTAGCCAGCAGTTCATTTCGCTACTACAAAACAATTTGTAGCCGAAGTAGTAAGGTACAAATCGAGTCCTTTCTCAGGGATAAGATAAACAAGGCTCCTAACAACGTCAGGGACTGCAAGAAATGTTGAAAGTGGCGCTCCTGGGAGAGCCATATTTAACATGACCCCTGGGAACGGTCTCAGACCATAACGAGGTAGGATAAATAGTTCCAAATACTAGTTAGCTATCGATACATGATAGCCGGTGCAGCGTGGTGTATTGGGATGAAACTCATGCGACCAGCCAATCTGCCCGTCCCTGCATACTCCTCCTAGACTGACATGGATCCAAACTAACAACCAGCCTCCTACACGGAAAACAATTTGTTCCAATGCTCAACTCAGATCAAGTAAAGAAGTTAAGCTTATCGTTTTGGGAATAGCGGAAACTTACTTTTTGAGCTGTCAAAGAATCATAACTTATACCTCAGATGGGTGATTTCAAGGTAACAATACCCGACGGAATTCCTCCATTTCCTGTGGCTTGAATCGTCCTGTATAATGACTATTCAAACATCTAAATATTAATAACTACTATTATATTTACATATATGTCTACAGTACACATCAGTGTCACCGCAACAGGGGGGACGGAACTTACGTGCGTCCGAGGATGCGCGCGGCAAATCGCGCGGTGACGTTCGTGGCGATTTGGACGTCTCTAGCGCCTATCATTGGGATCTGAATTCGAAGGAAAGTAGCTCACAAGGGTCTTCTAATCTTACTTAACTACTCTACTCCAAGTTTGTGCCCAGTAATAGGTATGCCGCGCGCTTCCTCGGACGCACGTATGTACCCATACCCCCGCAACAGCGATCCTTGAATCATGCATCTTCTCCTATCAAGAAAACCGCACTGCTTCCGAAAAATAAGCCAATTTGAGAGTCTTAGCTTCAGTTATTGAGACTTCAAGCACCATCTCAAGTGAACTACACGGCTTGACGTCACAGTGTTCAAAAACAGGCGCAAACGGCTTGGTTTCCACCTTTATATATTCCTTGATGTAGCTACTCTTTGATATATTCCCCCACTTACTTTTCATCCACTGACAAATTAGTTTTTCATTTCTGTCAACATCTTTGACTGAAACTTTCAGGCCATCGACGTATGGATGCTCTCATGCATGACTTTCGTTTTCTGTTCGCTCCTTGAACTCGCATGGGTTGGTTATTTGTCACGAGAAGACGAATCACCCAGCACACCGCCACCGTCAACACCTGCTCTTCCGTCCAAGTCGCTTCCTATCCCACCGCTAACTCTGAACAAGACGACACCAGTGGCTCCTCCAACGCCAAGTCTTCAAGTGCATAGCGCCTCCAGCACTTTACATCGGTTTGTTTTTCAAATGGTAATGTCGATCATCCCCAAACTTCCTTCCAAGTACAATTGCCGACGATGCACTTTCACCAAAGCTAAGCTATGAGTAAGCGACGTCAGAGTGACGAGGTTGCGCGTGAATTCTCAGGGGAGGGCGAAATCTTCCGCCTCACAGCTGTCTGGCTCGTTCCCATCTCACATAGTATGACGCGTCGATGAGAGCAGATCTGAGATAAGACGCACATGACCANGATGCACTTTCACCAAAGCTAAGCTATGAGTAAGCGACGTCAGAGTGACGAGGTTGCGCGTGAATTCTCAAGGGAGGGCGAAATCTTCCGCCTCAAGCACAGCTGTCTGGCTCGTTCCCATCTCACATAGTATGACGCGTCGATGAGAGCAGATCTGAGATAAGACGCACATGACCATAGAGGATAAGCACGACTCTTTCAGGCGAAATCCAGCAAACGAAGAGGAATCAGCGTTGATTTCGCTTCGTGACAACGATTACGGCTATATTCCACCGGGATTCGGCCTCAACGGCAACATCGCTAGCGCGATGCGATCGTTTGGAGCCAGGTGAGCTGGGACACTAAATGTTTTCCACTATAGGGGACAGTCCAACAAAAATTTGGAGCGTAGAAATTTTATGAAGTGGGTTTTTCAGGTGTTCCTGTGATCCTCACCAATCATATCAGACCGAAGTTGATGACGTCCACCCTCCAGAACATATTTCACAAACCTTCAGCTCACGGTCAGTTGAACTTGGATTCACTAAAGATTCATTTGGGGACCCCTTGGAGAGCATTGTGAACTGTTTGGAAGAGGAATCGGGTATGTTTGAGTTACTAAAACGGAGCTAGAGCTGCTTCTTTCGTTTCTCTTCCTATGAGCCCAAATCTATTCGAGATCATTCGGTTGCTACGACTTCAGAAGATGCCCCCATGATGTTCCGGGTGGGGTTGGTCCCAAAAAAAACCGGTCGAAGACTCTCGTCTCAGAGTTACGAATCTCGACGCCCAGCTATTCATGAACACCTGGTAGAGCTTACCTACTTAGGGGGTTGCCCGACAGAAACTCTTCAGAAGTAGCTCAGTGAGACCTTTGCCTTTGGCATTCCATTTTCGCCAATGATGTCCATTTTTTCAAAAATTTAAAAGCATTTTTGCGATTTTTCAGGCATCATCAACGAGAACGATTGGCCAAACGAATCGATACGTTATCAGCAATTCTTTTTCCATCGCTTTTCTCTCTATTCAATATTGCCTATTGGTCTCACTACCTACGCTCAGATGGCTAGACTATTCGGGTGCTGTGCTGGCTATCAGCAGATCCCATGAAGTGGGCAAATTGGCCCACAGCGTATGGGACCACCCATACCATAGCCCTGTGATTTTACTGCCATTTATTGTGTGATATAAATAATAACACTTAACTCCCACCCCATAAAGCCACCATAAACGCTCGATTTGTCTCGATCAGCTCTTTCATTAGATCCTCAGCATTTTGCATATAAACCGACCTAATCACCCATTATCTATGTACCTCAAATTTTACCTGACCGCCTCTTCCCTACGCCCATACGCCATTCCCACTTCAATGACTAGTTCACTTCAATGCTCAATTAGACGTTCATATTTCATACCCTGGGTAAGGGAGTCCATTATGAATGGTTCACTTATATTATCGAAACGAATGCCAATTTTAACAGCAGATACAACGATTTTATTAATTTATTTGTATTTATTTGTATCATTTTTTTGTCTACAGATTTATATTACTACTCAAATTCTCTCAGAGATTTTCCTTTTTGTTCATGCGTTGTTGTTGATAGATGAAGATTGATATAATTTTGAAAAGTCGAGAGGTGATTAAGTGAAGGCGCTCTACGCCCTTGAAAAACAGAAGGAGAAGAATGAACAAATTGCTTCCATCACTCCCATCACTCTCACCCGCTTTACCTCACGTCCATCCCCCCTCCCCCTTAAGCATCTGCAAGTCATTGACGCCTCTGAAATGAGAAGATGAAGAACTGAAAATTACATTAAATAACAACTACGAGGAGTGAAGTTACGTGTGGCGCACGAACACTTCCACCCAAGTGGACCGCGGATCGAATCCCGGACGGATCAACGTTTTCTAATACCAATCCATTCCCGGAGCCGGCCCCTAACTGGAATTCGCCAACGTAGAGCTTTCATTCTTTATTATCCTGTATTACAACTATGAGTTCTTGAAAGGTAACTTAGAAAGGATGGCGATCTGTGGGCAAAATATCGGATTTGGACGGGATTTGTGCCTGTGTAAGGAATAAAGAGAACGGTGCCCGGAAAGCACAATTCGAGTCACATCCGAGGCCGAAGTGTTGCCTAGAAATTGCCAGTCTTCTGAGAAGTTCGGGTTGTGACAGCAGTTAACAAAACATCAAGTAAGTTACTCATTCCTGAATGGGTTTCCCAAAAAGGGAAGAAAACGCGGGATCCTCGATGAGTCAAAAAGAGGATTGAGAATTTTTCGAAATTGTAAGGTAAAATGGACTGCACCTCTTGAAAACGATCAAAAGCATGTAGTGTACAGTCTAACTATCATGGATGTCGAATATCAGCTAGCATTTGGCCAGCCTCGTTCCAGCCTATGTACAGGCCAACAGCATCTTTTCAGATGAGACGAGTTTAGTACCAAATAATGGACCCTGGCGGCTGAAAGTTTTGTGAGCATAAACTTGATTTGGTCACGAATTCGCACTGTAAGAGCTTTGGCACTTCTCGTTACCCCGACCCAACCTTCTCACCATTTCTTTTCTGATTTTATTAAAGTACACAAATTTTCAATTTGAAATCTCATTTTAAAATGACCTACACCCCAGTCGAAAGAGAATTTCACTTTGCACACTCAAAACTCGACTCAACCTTGCCCTTTCGAGCTTTGACCTTAAGTAGCAATTACATACCATGGATAGGGATATTCGATCAGAGGAGTACCCTCAGTCAGACCTCCTTATATGTAGTAGCTGACGGGAGTGATCCCGATTCTACCGATCCCGTCACTACTGGTTGATTTGGAGCTCAACTCACGAGTCAGGCAAGTAGCAGATACTAAGCGCTTCTCAACGATCGCCAGCCTTTTCCGTTTTCCGATTTTCCATCTGGAATGAGGAGCGGGACATATCTCCTCCCATCTTCGCCAGTTCGATCAACTATGTTCCTCTCCGACTTCTCTCTCAATTGGTATCAAATTCATAGCGAAGGACATCAAGTTTATTTGCGCATGGCTAGGCCTTGACAGGAAACGTTCCGTTCTACGATCCCCGGGCCCGTTTAGGGAAAATGGGACGGATGTCTTTCCTCGTAAGCTGATCCGAAGGAAATACATAGCGCGTTTAAGTTGGAGACCAACATTATAGCTAGTGGGAGTTCCACTTGTTCATAGCTGAACTGACAATCGAGCAGAAATAACGAAAACTTCGAATGGTTAACTTTGGCATTACTCTTGACAACTATTTATCTTTGCATTTATGGATGAGAAAGGGTTGCGCTAGTCCCAGATAGACTGGAATAGTCAGTGTGGATAAATAATCAAGCACGCAGTGGCTACTGATGGCGCCCGCATCGGAACTCAGTGATTATAAGGTACCAAGACATACCAAACAGAAGAACCAAGGTAGATGAAAAAGTATGACCAAAAATACAGAAATATTAGGTTAGCAAATAAGTCCTGCGACAAAAAATTTGAAGCGTTGAAAATTTGTATCAACAGTGTGAACACGGTAGCAAGGGTGATGGACTTGTAGGACATTCCTCAGGCAATCAACACATGAGTAAAGCCTGTGGGTTT